ATGATCCAGCAGATGTTGCCAATTTGATCTGCTTCCTCTGCCTTTTCTAAAACCAGCTTGAACATCTGGAATTTCATGGTTCACGTATTGCTGAAGCCCGACTTGGAGACTTTTGAGCATTACTTTCCTAGTGAGTGAAATGAGTGCAATTGTGTGGTAGTATGAGCATTCTTTGGGATCGGAATGAAAACTGACCTTTTCCAGTCCTGTGGCCACTATGGAGTTTTCCAAATTTGCTGGCATATTGAGTGCAACACTTTCACAGCATCATCTTTTAGGATTTGAAATAGCTCAACTGGAATTCCATCACATCTACTAGCTTTGTTCGTAGTGATGCTTCCTAAGGCCCACTTGACTTCACATTCTAGGATGTCTGGCTCTAGGTGAGTGATCACACCATCCTGATTACCTGGGTCATGAAGATCTTTTTTGTACAGTTCTTCTGTGTATTCTTGCCACCTCTTCTTAATATCTTCTGCTTTTGTTGGGTCCATACTATTTCTGTCCTTTATTGAGCCCATCTTTGCATAAAATGTTCCCTTGATATCTCTAATTTTCTTGAAGAGATCTCTAGTCTTTCCCATTTTACTGTTTTCCTCTATTTGCTTGCACTGATCACTGAGGAAGGCTTTCTTATCTCTCCTTGCTATTCTTTGGAACTCTGCATTCAAATGGGTATATCTTTCCTTTTCTCCTTTGCTTTTTGCTTCCCTTCTTTCCACAGCTATTTGTAAGGCCTCCTCAGACAGCCATTTTGCTTTTTTGCATTTCTTTTTCTTGGGGCTGGTCTTGATCCCTGTCTCCTGTACAGTGTCATAGACCTCCGTCCATAGTTCATCAGGCACTCTGTCTGTAAGATCTAGTCCCCTAAATCTATTTCTCACTTCCACTGTATAATTGTAAGGGATTTGATTTTAGGTGATACCTGAATGGTCTAGTGGTTTTCCCTACTTTCTTCCACTTAAGTCTGAATTTGGCAATAGGGAGTACATGATTGGAGCCACAGTCAGTTCCTGATCTTGTTTTTGCTGACTGTATAGAGCTTCTCCATCTTTGGCTGCAAAGAATATAATCAATCTGATTTCGGTGTCGAACATCTGGGGATGTCCATGTGTAGAGTCTTCTCTTGTGTTGTTGGAAGAGGGTGTTTGCTATGACCAGTGCCTTCTCTTGGCAAAACTCTATTAGCTTTTGCCCTGCTTCATTCTGTACGCCAAGGCCATATTTTCCTGTTACTCCAGGTGTTTCTTGACTTCCTACTATGCATTCCAGTCCTTTGGTGTTAATTCTAAAACTAACTATCTTTAAGAATTATTTACTTATTGACTGCAGTAGATCTTCATTGCTGTGTGTGGGCTTTTTCTAGCTGCAGCAAGCAGGGGTTACTCTCTTGATGCCAAGCTTGGGCTCTAGGCAGATGGACTGAACACATGGCACAGGGGCTTATTTGCCCCATGGCATGTGGAAACCTCCCAGACCAGGTATCGAACCTGTGTCCCTTGCATTGGGAGGCAGAATCCTAACCACTGGGCCACCAAGGAAATCCTAAAAAAATTTTAAAAATAAGCTTTGTTATTTTTTTCAATGCTTTTAGAGGTATAGGAAAATTGTAAAGAATTCTCATAGTTCACACTTTATTCAGATTTCCTTATTTTTACCTAATATCCTTTCTCTGGTCCAAGATCCCATCCCAGATACTACATTACATTGGATCTTCATGTCTCCTTAGGTCTCTCTTAGCTGTGACGGTTTCTCAGATTTTCCTTTGCTTTGATGACTCTGACAGTTTTGAGGATTACTAGTCAGGTATTTTGGAGAAGTCCTTCTCTTGGGATGTGCCTGATGTTTTTCTCATAATTAGACTGGGTTTCTGGGTTTTGGAGAGGAAGATCATGGAAGTAAAATACTAGTACAGTCACAACATTTAAGGTATTTACTATCAACCTGACATCTCATTGTTGATGTTGACTTTGATCACCTGGCAGAAGTAATGTTTGTTAGATTTCCCCACGGTAAATTTACTCTCCCTTTCTTCGTTTCTTTTTTTTTTTCTTTTTTTTTTTTTTTCATTTATTTTTATTAGTTGGAGGCTAATTACTTTACATCATTGCAGTGGTTTTTGTCATACATTGAAATGAATTAACCATGGATTTACATGTATACCCCATCCTGGTCCCCCCTCCCACCTCCCTCTCCACCCGATCCCTCTGGGTCTTCCCAGTGCACCAGGCCCGAGCACTTGTCTCATGCACCCAACCTGGGCTGGTGATCTGTTTCACCCTAGATAATATATGTGTTTCGATGCTGTTCTCTTGAAACATCCCACCCTCGCCTTCTCCCAGACTTCGTTTCTTTTTTTTCATTTGTTTGTTTTTAAATTTTTTTGGCCATGCTGCATGGCATGTAGGATCTTAGTTCTCTGATCAGAGATTGAACCTGTACCCCTTGCTTTGGGAGGTCAGCGTCTTCATCACTGGACTGCCAGAGAACTCCTTACCTTCCTTCCTTTTTATGTTGGCATACTTAAACCATGAAGTCTAGACCTGAAGGTATTAGTGAGAACATATTGTGTAAACTCTAACTGAGGGTCTTCTCGAAAACCATTATCTGGCATCATTTAAATTATCAAACTGTTATTTTAAAAAAATGCTTAGGATATGTTCCAGATAGAGGAGAATGTAAACTAAATCCTGGATTGACTCCTAAACCAGAGAAAATGCTATTATTTTATTATTGGGACAGTTGACCACATTTGAATGCACACTGTGGATTAGATAATAACATTGCATCAATAACAACTTCCCTGGTTTCTATCATTTTTGTGTGATTATAAAGGAAATATTTTTGATCTTAGAAAATATAAAGTTTTTTAAAAAAATAATTGTATTTATTTATTTTTGACTCTGCTGCATCTTAGTTGCTGCCCAAGATTTTTCTCTAGTTGTGGCAAGCAGGGGCTGTCTCTGGTGGAGGTGAGGAGCTATCTCATTGCTGTGGTTTCTCTTGTGGAGCACGGGCTCTAGGGCATATGGGCTTCAGTATTGTGGCTCCCGGCTCTGGAGCACAGGCTCAATAGTCATGGCGCACGAGCTTAGTTGCTCTGGGACTTTTGGGATTTTCCCAGACCAGGGATGGAACCCATGTCTCCTGCATTGACAAGTGGATTCTTAACCCCTGAGCCACCAGAGAAGCCCCATACACTGAAGTTTCAAGGGATAAAAGGAAAGGATTTCTGTAACTTACTCTCACATGGCTGAAAAAGTTTATACTGTATATGAGAGTGAAAGAAATGAGAGCATATTCTAGTAAATGTTGCAAAAGATGACTGTTGGTAAATCTGTGTGAATTATGTAGGAGGATTTTGTGTGTATTTCTTGCAAGATTTCCCTAAGTTTGAAAATAATTAAAAATAAAAATAAGTCCTTCAATCACGTCCAACTCTTTGTGAACCATGGGCTTCACAGTCCATGGAATTCTCCAGGCCAGAATACTGGAGTGAGCAGCCTGTCCCTTCTCAGGGATCTTCCTGACCCAGGAATCGAACCGGGTCTCCTACATTGCAAGGGGGTTCTTTACCAACTGAGCTATCAGAGAAGCCCTTAAAAAATCAAAATAAAACTAAATAAACAGATGTAGTGATGATAAGCTAGAGGGAAATTGAGATACCATGGACTGAAATCTCTGTGTTTTTTTTTAAATTTTATAGCAACCTAATTTTTAAAGAAATCTATTATTATTGTTGTTGTTATTATTTTAGCCACTCTGTGTAGCCTGTGGGATCTTAGTTCCCTGTGCAGGGATCAAACTCACACCCCCTGCATTGAAAGCACAGAATTTTAACCACTGGATCACCATGGAAGTCCCTGAAATCTGTTGTTTTAAGCATAAGAGTCAAGAACTTGCTTTAGACTCACAGGTATGGGGCTGAATTTAAATACCCAACTACACGGCAGGATCCAGTTTTATTTGTCATTTCATCATTAACATACTGAGAATTTATGAAATGCTTCCAGGTTTTAGGGGCTGAGCTGAGAGAATTCTCATATTGGCCACACTGAAATTCTATAATAGCAGTTGTTATTTTATGGGTTCCACCTTCTATTACCCAGTGGAGGACTTTAGGATTCAAGGTTTCCCACATTCACACAATAAGCAAAAGGAAGAATGCCCACTTCTGAAATATTGACTCAAGAAGTAATTAAAGAAATATCTAGGCTCTGTCATTTCCTGGTGGGCTTCAGTCAGCTAAAATTAAGACCATCCAGGGCTTCTCTACCATATGGACTACTACAAATACTATAGTGTTGACTCTATGGATGTGAGAGTTGGACCATAAAGAAGGCTGAGCCCCAAAGAATTGATGTTTTTGAATTGTGGTGCTTCTGTGCTGCAGAAGACTCTTGAGAGTCCCTTGGACAGCAAGGAGATCAATTCAGTCAATCCTAAGGAAATCAACCCTGAATACTCATTGGAAGGACTGATCCTGAAGTTGAAGCTCCAATACTATGACCACCTGACGTGAAGAGCTGATCATTGGAAAAGACTCTGCTGCTGGGAAAGATTGAGGGCAAAAGGAGAAAGGGGTGTCAGAGGATGAGATGGTTAGATTGCATAACAGACTCCATGGACATGCATTTGAGCTAACTCGCAGATAGTCGGTGACAGAGGACCCTGGCACGCTGCAGCTCATGGGGTCACAAAGTGTCGGACACAGCTTAGTGACTGAACAAGAACAACAATGACTTTTGCGTTATTTCTTGACCACTCTGTATGAATGAAATGAAACACTGTAAACATTTTTTGAAAGCTGGGCTACCACAGAGTGAATTAGGGGTACCCTGATAATTTTAACAGTCAGGTCCTCAAAGATGCAGAAATTTGGTCAATTGAGGCACCAGGATGAGATAACAGGTTTCATGTAATTACTCCCAGTCCTTCACATGTATGAGGACAGGAGAACAAATATCATTGTCCATATAGGATCCAGAAGTTTTTGATCGTTATTTCCATGGGAACAGATCTTGGGGAAGGTCTGCCATCTTCTCCTGGAATAGTTTATCAAAGGTTTCAGCTTGGGCCACCGTGAAGTAATTTTTCCAGTCCCCAGTCACGCCTGACAAACGTAAAATAGAGGAACATGTCAGATCTAGGGCTCAGTCTCGAGACTCCAATACATGTCTTCTAGATCTATTTATTTTAACTTATTGCTATTAAGTAGTACACAACACATTCTTACCTGTTTTATTTTATTTATTTAAAAGAGTTTATTTATGCGTGGCTGTGCTGAGTCTTTGTGCCGTGCACCATCGTTCTCCAGTTGCAGCGAGTGGGGGCTGCTCTCTAGTTGCAGTGTGTGGGCTACTCTTGTTGCCGAGCACATGCTCTAGAGCTTGGGGTGAGCAGTTGTGGTGCATGGGCTTAGTTGCCCGCAGCTGGTAGGCAAAAATCAAACCTGCATCCCCTGCATTGTCAGGCAGATTCTTAACCACTAAACCATCAGGGAAGCCCTTGATCTATTTCTTTCTGTCTGCTTGACACGGAAATCCTAGTTAATATAGCAGAATGACCAATGGTTTGTTGTTTTCATATGCCTAGTGGTCATACTCATTTACACTTCTGCCTGCTTGGAACAAATTCCCGCCTTCTCTTCTCTCCCAGCTCATCTTGCGTGAAATTCATCAGCAATAATACTGCTCTATTTTCTATAACAGATCTTGCCTGGTGGCTCAAATGGTAAAGAATCTGCTTGCAATGCAGGAGACCCAGATTCAGTCCCTGGGTTGGGAAGAGACCCTGGGGGCGGGCATGACAACCCGCTCGATTATTCTTGTCTGGAGAATCTCATGGACAGAGGAGCCTGGCAAGTTTACAGTGCATGGGATCTGTAATAACCAGTGTCTAGTCACTTTTCACAGCTTCTCTTTCTACCACCTCCATCCAAGCCAACATCATTTCTCACCTGCATTATTTTATTAGATGTCTTACTAGTCTTCTCTGCTTTTTTTAGTTGTTTATTATTTGTTTGGTCATGCCATTATTTGTTTAGCAGCCAAATAACTAAGACATTAAGCAGAAACAATATTGTAACAAGTTCAATAAACTTCAAAATGGTCCACACCAAAACAAATGAACCTTAAAATGATAAACTTTCTCAAAAACCTGCAGCCCACATCAATACTCTAAAAAGAAATGCCCTGACACAAGAGACGATCTCAAGTGATGAGCAATTTAAGTTGATAAATTCAAACAGTCCCTACTCTCAATGGTTAGTGCCTTATTATCAGCCAAGAATAATCTCTGCATATTCTGATCCATTTTGAAGGCAGAACATTTTCGTTTACCTTTTCTCAGAAGTTCTCCATTCTCTTCTAAATACTGACCCTTCAGGAGGGAAGAACTGGACATATTGTTTTCTTTCATGGCCTGGAAAGAACTGTTTCTGAGGACCGAGTCCAGTTCTTCTGGTTCTAGTTTCTTGCCCAGGAATTGGCAGATCTTCTCCACAGCGCTCCTCGTGTCCTAGAAGAAGAGAAAATCTGAGAGATTATGTGAAAGAGCAAGAATGTAGAAAAGGAGATGAGGGGGCGGAGACAGCAGAGAAAGGAGGAGGAGAGGGGAGAGGAAAAGAGAAAAAAATGAAGAGATGTGAGTAGGGATAGAATTGGAGGAGCCCAGAGAGATGGAGAGATTGACATTGACACATGGCCACTGTCGATACTGAGCAAAGAATAGGTACCTAACGAGAACCTACTCTGTGGCACAGAGAACTCCTGTCGATGCTCTGAGGTGACCTGAACGGGAAGGAAATTAAAAAAAAAAAGGGGGTATATGCCTAGGTATAGCTGACTCACTTTACTGTACAGTAGAAACTATATACTCTGTAAGGAACTATACTTCAATAAAATTTTTGAGAAATTTAAAAATGATTTAGAGAAAGGTTGAAAAAAATAGATGAACACACCATGATGGGTTTCTCAGTATAGCTGAATTCAGGACACCTTAAAACAGCAAAATGCTGGGTTTCTAAAGAGACTTAGGAAGGGCTTCTAGACAATTATGATCAAGATTAGGCAGGAGAGTTTCAGGGAGAACCTGACAATAATATAGGGATTTGATTTCAAGTCTTGGCTATGTGCCCAAATAATGCTGTTTTTCACAGCTATCACAAGAGAGCTTTACCATATCTTATTTATTATGTCAAAACTTAGCTCATGATCTTCAGAGATTATGATAAGAAAATGGATTTTATAACCAGAAAGGCTTTGCTTTGAATCAGACTTTCCTGTTGGAGCTATAATGCTGTAATTTTTTTCTTTATTCCATGAGCATTTAGTATGGTCTACCAAGAAATCGCACACCTGAAAAAAAAATACAACAACAACAACAACAACATGGAACAAAACAAAACAAAAATCCTAATGAAAACAAAAGAAAGGGCTTCCCTGATGGCTCAGTGGAAAAGATTCTGCCTGCCAGTGCAGGAGACGTGGGTTCGATCCCTGGTCCGGGAAGATCCCATGTACCTCGGAGCAACTCACCCATATGGCATAACTATTGAGCCTGTGCTCTAGAATCCAGGCATCACAACTGCTCAGCCTGCATACCTGGAGCCTGTGCTCCACAACGAGAGAAGCCACCGCAGTGAGAAGCCCACACACCACAACAAAGAGTACCCCCCACTCACCGCAGCTGGAGAAAGCCTGAGGACAGCCGTGAAGATCCAGCACAGCCAATACATAAATAAAATTCTTTCTTAAAAAAAGCCCTTCACCTTACGGTGAAACAGAAAACCACATGCAGAAAGAGCAGTGAAATTTGAAGTGTCAACCAGAAATAAGGCAATGAAGACCAGGTTGCTATTCTCACTCCTATTGACTGCAGGCTAAACTTTGAGAAGGTGGGAGACACAGGGGAATGGAGGGGAGGTGGGGGGAGTGCAGATGGTGGTGAGAGAGTGTGCTGACTCTAAGAACAAGAGTTACCCATTTCATCTCTTCATAGCTCAGTATCAGGAAGTTCTCCTTGTCTCTCATGGACATCCAGCCCCGAGTGTGGTCAAACCACGATCCAAATACCACTGCACGGAGGGGAGGCAGAAAGAGTGAGGAGATGACACATGGAATGAAAGCAGGGGTCCACACACTGAGTTCACTCTGGGGGCTCACTTGCTACCACAATGCCGGGCACATTTAACGCTTGTTATAACTGGTATCCGCCACCATGCATTTGCCCTTTAACAAACCTAATGCCTTTGGAGCAGGTTTTGTATAAAGTTTTCCAGGGTCTGTAAGGAAGTCTTTTCCAGTGAATCATGTGGTCTGAGAAGTGGCATTTTTTGGGCGGGGTGGGGGGGGCGGCAGTTAATATGTTCAGCCTTGAGATATTTTTGCCTGTTAGGTACATTCTGACAATACTTTTTTTCCTCCTCTCTGTCATCTTTCCTTCATTGTTGCTGTTGGAATTATTTCTTGGGAAACCGACTCGGTATCCCAAGGCAGGAAATAGCTTCAGTATTGCAGTGCACACACTTCGTTGCCCCATGGCATGTGGGATTTTCCCAGACCAGGGGTTGAAGCCCCTGCATTGGCAGGCAGATTCTGGACCACTGGACCACCAGGGAACTCCTGCTGCTCTTTTTCTGAAAGAGTAGCTTGAAGCACAGCAGGAAATACGGCTGAAGAGTTCACTCAAGATCAGCTCAATAAAAAATATGACCTCAGTGTGATACTAGATTCATCACAGTTTTTAGAAAAACTGCAACACTTCAAGTATCTGAGAATGCTTAGAAGTTCTGCGTAATTAAAAGCATAGAGGGCTTTCCCTGGTGGCCCAGTGGCTAAGTCTCTGTGCTCCGATTCAGGGGGCCAGGGTTCTACCCCTGGTCAGGGAACTAGATCCCACATGCTGCAATGGAAGAACCCCCAAACCACAACTAAGTTGGAAGAATCTGCCTGCCACAACTAAGATGGGAGATTTCACATTCCACATCTAAGACCTGATACAGCCAAATAAATAAATGATTAACTTTTAAAAAGTATAGAGGTCCTGGGTGCGTGCGTGCTAAGTCACTACAGTCCTGTCCGACTCTCTGCGACCCCAGGGACCGGAGCCTGCCAGGCTCCTCTGTCCACGGGATTTTCCTGACTAGAATACTGGAGTGGGTTGTCATGCCCTCCTCCAGGAGATCTTCCCGACCCAGGGACAGAACCTGTATCTCCTGCATCTCCTGTATTACAGCCAGATTCTTTACCTACTGAGCCACCTGGGAAGCCCATAAAGTCCCAGCTTAATGCATACAGTTTTTAGACACAGAGGACAAGAGAATTAAAGGACTTTTTGAAAGATGCACACGTAAATGGTGGAAAGTCAGGACTGTGTTGTCCAGGAGGCCAACGAAAGCTGCCTTTCAGAAAGTCTCGTGACTTTCAAAAATTTAGGAGAATACAGGAGAAGAATATGAGTGCTTTGTAGTAGTATTAGGTCATGGAGACTGAGAAAATAGCTAGGATAGTTTCTGATGGGGCAAACAAAAGGGCTGGTTGAAGCTCTTCTGCTTTATAAGATAGTATGTGGCTTTAGAAAATTTGGGTTCCAGTGGTGATGGAACCCTGTACCAATGCATTGGTTAGATGTAGAGACATCAGGTTGGGTAAAAAAATGAAAAGAGGTCTGATGAAGGACTCTGACAACTCCCAGCTTTCATATTTTACATTCACTCACCATTTCCTTGGACGAACCATTCAAAGTATTGTTCCAGTGACTGTGGTTTCTTAACCAATTTTGCACTCCTCCAGAAAAAATAACCAGACACTAAAACATCTCTGGGATTTCTGATGAGGTAGATTATCTTAAAGAGAAAAATTGGATCATGAAAAATCAATAGTTATTTTCCAACCTTCTTGATCGTCATAAAAATGGAAAAAAAACCAATTCCTAGAAAGTGCCCTTTAAAAATCAATGGATTATTTTAATAAATTAGTTATTATATTCATTAATCAAATATGTATTTTAAAGTTCCTGTGAACTAGTCACTGGACCAATAGCAAAGCCCTAACTAAGGAAGAGGAAACCACTGTTCTTTCCCTCGGTTATTATAGACTAAAGAATCTGCCTGTCATTGACAGAGATGCCAGAGACATGGGTTCAATCCTTGGGTTGGGATCCAATCCAATTGAACCATGGTTGGTTCAATCCATGGGTTCAATCCATGGGTTCCCTGAGAAGGAAATGGCAACCCAGTCAAGTATTCTTGTTTAGAGAATGTCATGGATAGAGGAGCTTGGTGGGTTACAGTCCATGGGGTTGCAAAAAGTCAGACATGACTTAGCATGCACCCACAATGGGAAGCACAGGAAGATTTTAATATGTCACTGATATTATATTTGCATACTATAGTTTAAAGATTACTAATAGACTAGATGAACAAATCATGAGATCCTTAGAGACACACAGCAATATATATCTGTACATACACAACATCATGAATGAATCTCCCCCAAGTTATTGTTGGGGAAAGTCATGGAGGTTTGACTCATTGAATCACTGACCTGTGAGCTGGATCTAGGCAAATGGAGGCACCCGACCTATCCCCCTTATATGTTCGTATAAGGAGTGTGTTCCACTTGACTTCCCTGCACCAGAAGCTGCCCAAAGATAGAGCCTTGAGACTGTAATGTGGTATTGAAACAATGGGGATCCTGTACATGTTTCAAACCAGGTAAAGTCTCTATAAAAACTTTTAAGATGGGGTGGGCAAGTACACAAAGCTACTCATCTTGTGGCTGCCTAAGACAGACCTCATGAGTAAGTTCCCTTGCTTATTTTTAAAAACAATTTTATTGATTTATTTTGGTATGTGCTGGGTCTCTGTTGCTGTGTCGGCTTTCTCATTGCAGTACACGGGTTTCTCATTGCATTGGCTTCTCTTGTTGCTGATCACATGCTCTAGGGCGTGTGGGTTTCAATCGTTTCAGTTCCCAGGCTCCAGATCACAGGCTCAGTAGTTGTGGCTCATGGGTTTAATTGTTCCTCAGCACGTGGGATCTCCCATGACCAGGGGTCAGACCCATGTTTCCTGGGTTAGTAAGCAGATTCTTTACCACTGAGCCACCAGGAGAGCCCCTCCATTGCTTATTAAACTTGCCACCTACCAATCTGGAATGGTCTGCCTCTTTCTTACTGTCTATCCCTGCCCTCTGTATGTGGAGTCCAGTTTCATATTATACCCAGCCAATTCCTGAGGACGTTGTGTGCCAACAATTATCTTGAGTGAAAGAAGTCAGATGTTCGGGCTTCCCTGGTGGCTCAGTGATAAAGAATGTGCCTGCCAATGCAAGAGACAGGAGTTTGATCTCTGGTCTGGGAAGATCCCATGCCTCAGACAGCTAAGCCCGTGTGCCACAACTATTGAGCTTGGGCCCTAGAGCCCGATACCCCACCTACTGAAGCCCATGCGCCCTGGAGCCCAAGTTCTGCAACAGGAGATGCCGCTTTAGTGAGAAGCCCCAGCACTGCACCTGGAGAGTGGTCCCTGCTTTTGGCAACTAGTGAAAAGCCCGAGCAAAAGCGAAGACTCAGCATAGCTAAAAATTAAAAAAAAAATTTTTTTTAAGACTCCAGAAAAACAGATATTAAAAAGAAGTCAGATGTTCATGTGATATGAGTCTATGTACATGAAGCTCAAGAACAAGTATAGAGTGAATAGTCAAAGGGAGTGGCTACCTCTGTGGGTGGGCATTGACTGGGGCAGTGTGTGGGGAAACATTCTTGGGGAGGAGAAATGTTCTAAATCAGGGTTCTGGAAGAAAGTTTCCGAGTTAGCTATGTATGTAGAGATTGAACAAGCTAATCCTTAAGGTTAGTGTATGCATACAGACACACACACACGCAAGAATACTTGGCATTTCAACATCTGAATCACATCTCTACTCGGTGTCAGCTTTCTTTGTGACATTATTCTAGGCCCTTGGGCTTCTCTTGTGACTCAGCTGGTAAAGATCCACCTGTAATGCGAGAGACCTGGGTTTGATCCCTGGGTTGGGAAGTTTCCCTGAAGAAGGGAAAGACTACCCACTCCAGTATCCTGGCCTGGAGAATTGCATGGACTGTATAGTCCATGGGGTCACAAAGAGTCGGACATGACTAAGTGACTTTCACTCACCTCTCTCTAAACTTCAGTTTCCCTGTACAGGCATTTCACAAACACCAGTCAGTCTCATATTTATAGGTTGATTTTAAATAATCTTAGAAAATGATGGGTGAAAAAAAAAACTTAACTGTGCTGTGACATACTGAAATTTCGTAAAAGGTGAATATCATTCAAAGTTTCACAATCTCCTTTTTAAATTGAAGTATATTGGTCAGGAACCTGCCTGACCAAAAGATACAGGAGATTCGTGTTCCACCCCTGGGTTGGGAAGACCCCTGAAGAAGGACATGGGAACTCACTCCAGGATTCTTGCCTGGAAAATCCCATAGACAGAGGAGCCTGGGGGGCAACAGTCCATGGGGTTGCAAAAGAGTTGGACACAACTGAAAGAAAGTGAAAATGCAGTCGCTTAGTCGTGTCCAACTCTTCGCAACCACATGGACTGTAGCCCACCAGGCTCCTCCATCCATGGGATTTTCCAGGCAAGAATACTAGAGTGAGTTGCCATTTCCTTCTCCAGGGGATCTTCCTGACCCAGAGATCAAACCCGGGTCTCCTGAATTGCAGGGAGACACTTATCATCTGAGCCACCACAGAAACCTGAACACAACTGAGCACACACACAATTATTTTTTAGAGCAACAAAAGTTGGTTTGTTGTTGTTGTTTAGTTGCTCAGTCTTGTCTGACTCTTTGCGACCCCATGGATTGCAGCATGCCTTGCTACTACCCTGCTCTTCATCTCCCAAGCTTGCTGAAACTCATGTCCATTGAGTCAGTGATGACATCCAACCATCTCGTCCCCTGTCATCCCCTTTACCTCCTGTTTTCAATCTTTCCAGCATCAGGGTCTTTTCTAATGAGTCAGCTCTTCACATTAGGTGGCCAAAGTATTCGTGCTTCAGCTTCAGTGTCAGTCCTTCTAAAGAATATTCAAGATTGATTTCCTTTAGGATTGACTGGTTTGATCTCCTTGCAGTCCAAGGGACTCTCAACAGTCTTATCCAGCACCCCAGTTTAAAAGTATCAATTCTTTGGTGTTCAGCCTTCTTTATGGTCCAAATCTCACATTCATACATGACTACTGGAAAAACCATAGCTTTGACCTTTGTCAGCAAAGTAATGTCTCTGCATTTTAATATGCTGTCTAGGTGGGTCATAGTTTTTTTGTTTTTTTTTTTGCAAGGAGCAAGTGTCTTTTAATTTGATGGTTGCAGTCACCATCTGCAGTGATTTTGGAGCACAAGAAAATAAAGTCTATCACTGTTTCCATTGTTTCCCCATCTATTTGCCATGAACTATGGGACTGGACATATATTTCTGCATTATTGACTACACCAAAGCCTTTATCTGTGTAGATCACAACAAACTGTGAAAAATTCTTCAAGAAATGGGGATATCAGACCACCTGACCTGCCTCCTGAGAAATCTGTATGCAGGTCAAGAAGCAACAGTTAGAACTGGACATGGAACAACAGACTGGTTCCAAATCAGGAAAGGAGTATATCAAGGCTGTATATTGTCAACCTGCTTATTTAACTTATATGCAGAGTACATCAAGAGAAACACTGGGCTGGATGAAGCACAAGCTGGAATCAAGGTTGCTAGGAGAAAGATCAATAACCTCAGATATGTAGATGACACCACCCTAATGGCAGAAATTGAAGAAGAACTAAACAGCCTCTTGATGAAAGTGAAAGAGTAAAGTGAAAAACTTGGCTTAAAACTCAACAATCAGAAAATGAAGATCATGGCATCTGGTCCTATTACTTCATGGGAAATAGATGGGGAAACAATAGAAACAGTGACAGACTTTATTTTTGGGGGGCTCCAAAAACAATGCAGATGTTGACTGCAGCCATGAAATTAAAAAATGCTTGCTCCTTGGAAGAAAAGTTATGACCAACCTACCCAGCATATTAAAAAGCACAGTCATGATGTTGCCAACAAGATCCGTCTAATCAAAGCTATGGTTTTTCCAGTAGTCATGTGTGGATGTGAGAGTAGGACTATAAAGAAGGCTGAGTGCCAAGGAATTGATGCTTTTGAACTGTGGTGTTGGAGAAGACTCTTGAGAGTCCCTTGGGCAGCAAGGAGATCCAACCAGTCCATCCTAAAGGAAATCAGTCCTGAATATTCAATGGAAGAGAAATGATGCTGAAGCTGAAACTCCAATGTTTTGTTCACCTGATGGAAAGAACTGACTCACTGGAAAAGACCCTGATGCTGGGAAAGATTGAAGGCAGGAGGAGAAGGGGATGACAGAGGATGAGATGGTTGGATGGCATCACCAACTCAATGGACATGAGTTTGAGTAAACTCCAGGAGTTGGTGATGGACAGGGAGGCTTGGCGTGCTGTTGTCTATGGGATCGCAAAGAGTCGGACATGACTGAGCAACTGAACTGAACTGATGGGACTGAACTGAACTGAATGAATCAAAAAATGATTCATTTTTTGAATATTGAGTTTTAAGCCAGCTTTTTCACTCTCTTTCATTTTCACCAAGAGGCTCTTTAGTTCTTCGCTTTCTGCCATCAGAGTGCTGTCATCTGCATATCTGAGTTTATTATTATTTCTCATGTCAATCTTGATTCCAGCTGTTCTTCATCCTGCTGGCATTTCACATGATGCACTCTGCATACAAGTCAAATAAGCAGGGTGACAATATACAGCCTTGACATTCTCCTGTCCGATTTTGGAACCAGTCTTTTGTTCCATGTCCAGTTCTAACTGTTGCTTCTTGACCTGCATACAGATTTCTCAGGAAGCAGGTCAGGTAGTCTGGTATTCCCATCTCTTGAAGAATTTTTCACAGTTTGTTGTGATCCACGAAGTCAAAGGCTTTAGTGTAGTCCATGAAGCAGAAGTAGATGTGTCCCTGGAATTCTCTTGCTTTTTTATGATCCAACAGATGTCAGCAATTTGATCTCTGGTTTCTCTGCCTTTTCTCAATCCAGCTTGAACATTGAGAAGTTCTCAGTTCACGTACTATTGACCCCTGGCTTGGAGAACTTTGAGCATTACTTTACTAGCATGTGAAACGAGTGCAATTGTGCGGTAGGTTGAACATTCTTTGGCAAAGGAGTGTTATCTAGGGTATAATGCAGTTATAAGTTCTAGTTAAGCTTTAAATGTAAGGTTTGGGCATTATGGTTTCTCTTTGTCTCTGGTTTACATCTGGCTTATAGAACCTCTGGAATGCTCTATACCTTTATACTTAGTATGGCTGTGGTGTGTACAAGCAGAATCTCAGGTCCCACCACATACCTACTGAATACAATTGCATTTCAAACAGATCTTCAACTGGTTGCCAGGTAAGTTAAAGTTTAATGAGTACTGATCAAGCCTATCTTGACTATGTGCACTGACCTTGGCCTTGGACTTGAAGAAAGACCTGGGGAAGAGTTGGACAGGGAGGTGAGAAGTGATGAAACATGGGCCTTCCTTATCTTTTAGTAGATTATACCCCTGAAAGCCTCTACCCAAGGGGAGCGCTCCCCAATAGGCACAGATCAGATCCACCTGGGATCCCCCTTAGAATGAATCAGGCAGACAGTCTCCATCAACCAGTTCATTCCTAGATAAAGAAAGGAAAAACATAGTCAGTCATTTTGTGCTTAATTGCTCAGTCGTGTCTAGCTCTTTTTGACCTCCTGGACTGTAGCCCCCCAGACACCCCCGTCCGTGGAGATTCTCCAGGCAAGAATACTGGAGTAGGTTGCCGTTTCTTTCTCTGGTGAGCCATTTTAATCTGACTTTTAAAATTCTCATAAATTATACAGATAATCCAAGGCACCATCTTAACCATTTTCAGGAGTACATTTCAGCTGGGTTAAGTATATTTACACTGTTGTGTAACCAACCTCCAGAACTTTCTCATCATGCAAAACCGAAACTTTGGGCCCATTATGTAACGACTTTCCATTTTCCCCTCTTTCCAGTCCCTGCCAGTCTCAGGCAACCATTCTGTTTCAGTTTCTGATAACCTCATTTACGTGGCATCATACAGTGTCTCACTTATTTCTCTCAGGGTAGTGTCTTCATAGTTTATCCATGTTGTCACGTGAGTCAGAACTTCGTTCCTTTTTAAGGTTGAATAGTGTTCTATTATATGCAGCTACTACATTTTGTTTCATCTATCAGTGGACATTGGGTTGCTTCCAGCGTCTGGTTATTTAATAAATCCTGTGATACGTTATGTTCCCATTGCCCTTGGCTTTTCACTATCACACAACTTTTAAGGTCATCAACCTTCATTCTTGCCTAATCACAGTCCCTCAACGACCCCACCCCTCACAGATATATGATTCACATCCTTTCTGTCCCTTGGATTTGTCAGGCTTTTTTCCAATTCCTGGCCACGATTCATGCTGATACCTTTCTCAGAAACTATCCCTTTTCACAAAATAATTTCACATTCATTCCTTTTATGTCACTATAGATGTCACATCTTCCACTTCTTTGTTTTTGGCTGAGATAATTGTGTTTTACTCCCTGCCCTCCCCCCTTGATTATAACTAACAAATGAAATCATATATATTTAACATTGTCAGTTCAAAAGCAGTAGGGTCAACCTGGCAATACTAAACTCTCCATTGCCCCATTATATTATACAAGTAACTTGATAAGCCTTGTTCTTGCTAGCATGGAGCTTATGGTCTCTTTAATACAAAGCAAAAATATTAAGAGAAAAAGAATAAACATATACTTTACATAGAAATGCATCTGATGTATTTTAAAAATATGATATATATAAATATCAAGGAAAATAAATATTGTTTAAAGTTAGGAAAAAAAAAGGAATGTAGGCCTGGTGGTTAAGAATCTGCCTGCCAATGCAGGGGACAGGGGTTCCATCCTTGGTCCAGGAAGATTCCACCTGCTAAGGGCAACTAAGCACGTGCACCACAATGACCGAGCCCCACGCTACCCCACTGAAGCTCTAGAGTCTGTGCTCCACAACAAGAGAAGCTGCCCACTGCAACTAGAGAGTAGCCCACTCAGCTATGAAGATCCAGCACAGCCAACGATAAGTCATAATAATAATCAAAAGGTAAAAATCAAAATTCTTGAAAAAGAGAATGTATATCTTTAAGGTATACATGTTAATTTGATATATGTATACATTGTGAGGGATTCACCATGGCTCAGTGGTAAAGAATCCACCTGTCAATGTAGGAGGTTCGATCCCTGGGTCGGGAAGATGCCCTGGAGAAGAAAATGACAACCCATTCCAGTATTCTTGCCTGGAGAATCCCAAAGACAGAGGAGCCTGGTGGGCTACAGTCCACGGGGTCCCAAAATAGTCGGATATGACTTATCGACTAAACAACAACAAAACACCACATTGTGAAATGACCACCACAGACAAACTAATTAACATATACATCATCTCACATAATTACCTCCCTCCTCCATTTCGTCTATAGACTTCCCTGGCCATCCGTCTCCTTCCACCACTCTCTGTATATACCCGAATCTGCCTTGTGATTCACTCCCGTGGGTTCCCCTGATGCCTTAGGTTATCCCTCTAAACACTCAGCTTATTGTGTAACTGCCTGTCTAGATCCTTTTTTCTGAAATTCAGTGGCTGTTATTGTTCAGTCGTTCCATCATCTCCGACTCTTCGTGACCCCATGAACTGCAGCACGCCAGGCTTCCCAGTCCTCCACTATGCCCCAGAGTTTGCTCAAATTCATGTCCACTGAGTCAGTGATGCCATCCAACCATCCTCTGTTGCCCCCTTCTCCTCCTGCCCTCAATCTTTCCCAGCATCAGGGTCATTTCCAATGAGTAAGCTCTTCAGCAGTATCGGTGCATATTTCTATTCCCCCAAAGCATTGTCGGCATACAGAAAGTGTTCCGCCTGTCTGTTGAATGAATGAGGAAGCATTTCTCAGCATCTGGTCCTGCTTTCTTACCTGATTTGGGGTAAGTCAGCAGTAAGACATCCTCATCTTTAATAAGAAAATTCTCCTGCACCTCTCTCAGGTGTCCAGATGGGAATTCCCTGCTCGGGAAGGGTATCCCTTCAAACCACACACACTCTCCTGTCATGACAATGAGATCTTTGTACCTCTTGTGGGTGTTTCAGCCTTAGTATAGTCACTGTTGGACTGGGAGATCCGTTTTACAGTCAACATCAAACAATCATTAATCTTTCCCTGCTCACTGAGGTTTGTGCCTATTGATGAAAAGAGAGGGTCACAAGACTGAAAATATTGGGTAATCGTGAAGTCATTCAGAGAACATTCTGGAGTAACCTGAGTTGATGTCATGGGAGGAAACGAGTTTAGTAACAAGGTGGAGGGTGTAGACACGTGGTGGATTAAGAAAATGTATTTTATTATTTTTTTTCATGAATCACTTTGCTAAGTGTTGTTTTTTAAAATTTATGTATTTATCTTTTTGGCTGCTATGAGCCTTCGTCACTGTGTGCAGGCTTTCTCTAGTTGCAGCCAGCAGGGGTTACTCTCTTGTTGCGGAGCGCGGGCTCTAGGCTGCTGGGCCGAATATGTGGCCCAGGGGCTCAGTTGCCCCATGGCATGTGGAAACTTTCCAGACAAGGTATTGAACCTTTGTCCCCTGCGTTGGAAGGCAGAATCCTAACAACTGGACCACCAGGATAGCCTGAAAAAATATTTTAAATAATCTGTATTATTATTTTCTACATTTTTATATGTATAGGAAAATGGTAAAGATAGAATAAAGAATTCTGATAGTCCATATTTTATTCAGACTTCCTTAGTTTTACCTAATTTCCTTTCTCTGTTCCAAGATTCCGGCCCAGACACTACATCACACTGGGTCTTCATGTCTCCTTAGGTCTCTCTTGGCTGTGACAATTTCTCAGACTTTCCTTGTCTTTGATGACCTTGACAGTTTTGAGGATGGCTGGTCAGATATTTTGGAGAAGGTCCCTCTCTTGGGGTGTACTCCATGTTTTCCTGATAATTAGACTGGGTTTCTGGATTTGGGAGACAATGATCATGGAGGTAAAATACTGTTATAGTCCTAACGTTTCAAGGGCTTTCACTATCAACTTGACAACTCACCATTGACCTTGATCACTTGGCCGAGGTAATGTTTGTTGGATTTCCCCACAGTAAATTTACTCTACCCACCCCCTTTTTTTTGTTTGTTTTTGGCCATGCCAGGATGTATGTGGCATCTTAGTTCCCTGATTAGGGATTGAATTCCATGCACCTTGATTTGGAAGCTTAACGTCTTAACCACTGGACGGCCAGAGAAGTCTCTTGCTGGCTTCCTTCCTTTTTTTTTGGGGGGGGGGCATATATTTAAAAGGTGAAGTCTAGACCTGGAGGTATTAATGAAAACATATTGTGTAAACTCTAATTGAGGAAGCTGTACAAAATAATTGTCTGGTACCATTCAAAATATCAAATTATTATTTAAAAAAAAAACCCTAAGAAAAGAAAAGCTGAGGATATGGTCCAGAGAAAGGAGAAGGGAGAATGTAAACTAAATCCTAGATTGAATCCTAGGCCACAGAAAATGCTATCATTTTATTGTTGAGACGGCTGGCCACATTTAGATTGCACAATGTCGATTAGATAATAACATTGCATCAATACTAAATTCCTCGATTTCTATCATTTTTCTGAGATTATAAAGGAAATATCTGTGGTCTTAGAAAATATTCCCTGAAGTGTGGAGGGATAAAAGGAAATGATATCAGTAACTTTTTCTCAAGTGGTTAAAAAAGTTATTATTATCCATGAGAGTGAAAGAAATGAGAACATAATCTAGCAAATGTTGGAAAACATTACCACTGGTGAATCTGTGTGAATTATGTACAAGAATTTTTTGTGTATGTCTGGTAAGATTTCTCTAAGTTTGAAGATAATTAAAAATAAAAGTAAAAACTAAATAAAAAGGCATAGTGACAAGAAGCTGCAGGGAAATTGAGAAACCATGGACTGACATCTCTCTCTTTTTTCTCCCCTAACTTTTTTATTTTGTATTGGGGTCGGGAAGATCCTCTGGAGAAGGGAATGGCAACCCACTACAGTATTCTTGCCTGGAGACATGGACAGAGGAGCCTGGCGGGTTACAGTCTATGGGATTGCAAAAAGTCAGACAGACATGGCTAAGCGACTAACACTATACTACAGCTGATTAAGGAACAACATTGTGCTAGTTTCAAGTGAACAACGATTTTTCTCTCTCTTTTTTATAGCGACCTAATTAAAAATTTTTAGAAAATCTCTGGCTGCACTGCGTAGCCCATGGGATATTAAATCCCTGAGCAGGGATTGAACTTACATCTCCTGCTTTGGAAGCTCAGAGTTTTAACCACTGGACCACCAGGGCAGTCCCTGAAATCTCTCTCTTTGAACATAGGAGTGAAGAACTTGCTTTAGACTCACAGGTTGTGGGGTTGAATTTATATTATACCTACATGGACTACAGGAGGCAGTTCTTCTTTGCCATTTAATCATAAACATTTTGCTGTTATTGCTTAGTCAGTAAGTCATGTCTGACTCTTTTTGTGACCCCATCAACTGTGACCCCATGGACTGTAGCCTGCCAGGCTCCTCTGTCTGTGGGATTCTCCAGGCAAGAATACTGGAGTGGGTTGCCATTTCCTTCTCTAGGGGATCTTCCCAACACAGGTATCAAACCTGTCTCCTGCTTTGGAAAGGTGGAATTCTCCACCACTGAGTCCCCGGGAGGTCCAATCATCAACATAATGAGCATTTATTAAGTGATTTCATGTTTTAGGGACTGAGCTAAGAGAATTCTCATGTCAGCCACATTGAAAATTCATAATAGCAATTTTTACTTCATTGTACCCTCCTTCTATCTCTCTGAGGACCAAAGGCTTCACATGTTCACATAATCAACAATAGGGAGAGTGAAAATTATATTTTCATTCCTTGTAATTGCTAAACAATTGTTAAATAATTCTAGTTAGTGACAATAATCATAATGATACTGTGAGTGACCAATAATTATTTAGAGTGAACATGTGTCAGCAATACTCAGATCATTTTACACGTTACTCCCCTTAGTTATAACACTGAATATACAGATTATATGAGGAAATTGTATTCTTCTCCCACTTCGTATGTCATGGAACACTAATAAAACTGTTAATCTTATTGGAATATTGGGCATGAGTTTGAGTAAACTCCAGGAGTTGGTGATGGACAGGGAGGCCTGGCATGCTGTGATTCATGGTGTCGCAAAGAGTCGGACATGACTGAGCGACTGAACTAAACTGAACTGAATCTTATTGGAATGACAGCAGCTAATTAATTATTGGGGACTTCCCTGATAGCTCAGTTGGTAAAGAATCCACCTGCAATGCAGGAAACCCTTGTTTAATTCCTGGGTCAGGAAGGTATGCTGGAGAAGGGATAGACTACCCACTCCAGTATTCTTGGGCTTCCCTGTGGCTCAGCTGGTAAAGAATCTGCCTGCAGTGTAGGAGACCTAGGTTTGATCCCTGGTTTGGGAAGATCTTCTGGAGAAGGGAACAGCTACCCATTCCAGTATTCTCCAGTATTCTCCAGTTTCAAAAAGGACCCTCTATTGGTACCCCAACATTAAAGGGCCCCAAACAAGTCTGCTCTATTTACAACCAGTTAAAAAAAATTTTTTAAGGCTGAAAGAAAATTACACTGAGATTCCATCCCAGCAATAGTTTAGGGGCAATTGTTCAATTAATTAATCAAGTTCAAGATTGACAAAAGGTTCTGAGTCCCTTTGCTTGACTCCCTCACTGGGGACCTCAAAGCCTTACACCCCAAAATGAATAAAATGGCTGAGGGATTAAAAAGGAAACTTTCTTGGGACTTCCATGGTGATCCAGTGGTTAAAACTTCACCTTCCTATGCTGGAAGTGTGGGTTCAAGTCCTGGTTGGGGTGTTGAGACCCCACATGTCTCAAGGTTGAAAAACCAAATCAAAACAGAAACAGTACTGTAATAAATTCAATAAAGACTTTTAAAATGGTCCACAATGGAAAAAAAATCTTTTTCATTTTCAAAGGAAAATTTCTGGGACTCCTTGTAAGACCAAGACTTGTTGATAGGCTAAAAGTAAGGGTATAAGTGTTGATAGAACTGAGAAAAATGTTTATAGTGATTGGTGTATTTGAAAGGGCTTTAGGAGCCTTTGACAAAATCCAGCATCCATTTATGATAAAAAACTCTCCAGAAAGCAGGAATAGAAGGAACATACCTCAGCATAATAAAAACTATGTGTGACAAACCCACAGCAAACATTATCCTCAATGGTGAAAAACTGAAAGCATTTCCCCTAAAGTCAGGAACAAGACCAGGGTGCCCACTCTCACCACTACTATTCAACATAGTTTTGGAAGTTTTGGCCATAGCAATCAGAGCAGGAAAAGAAATAAAAGGAATTCAGATAGGAAAAGAAGAAGTAAAACTCTCACTGTTTGCAGATGACATGATCCTCTACATAGAAAACCCTAACGACTCTACCAGAAAATTACTAGAGCTAATCAATGAATATAGTAAAGTTGCAGGATATAAAATCAATGCACAGAAATCCTTTGTATTCCTATACACTAACAATGAGAAAACAGAAAGAGAAATTAAGGGCATGATACCATTCACCATTGCAACAAAAAGGATAAAATACTTAGGAATATATCTACCTAAAGAAACAAGAGACCTATATATAGAAAACTATAAAACACTGATGAAAGAAATCAAAGAGGACACAAACAGATGGAGAAATATACCGTGTTCACGGATTGGAAGAATCAATATTGTGAAAATGAGTATACTACCTAAAGCAGTCTATAGATTCAATGCAATCCCAATCAAGCTACCAATAGTAGTTTTCACAGAACTAGAACAAATAATTTCACAATTTGTACGGAAATACAAAAAACCTCCAATAGCCAAAGCAATCTGGAGAAAGAAGAATGGAACTGGAGAAATCAACCTGCCTGACTTCAGGCTCTACTACAAAGTCACAGTCATCAAGACAGCATGATACTGGCACAAAGACAGAAATACAGATCAATGGAACAGAATAGAAACTCCAGAGATAAATCC